TKMAAATRGGCTACCAACASGAWATGTTCTTTAATGAWTCACATTGATAAATCTTGACAGCTCTCTTTTTTATRAAATTTTCTATTGTAGATAAAGGAGAATGAAATAATTAAATGGGGTCGGAATTTCCAGGAAGCCTGGCAAAAGATGATTCCACATGACTGGACGAGTTGGAGATGCGTCATTAGTACTATAGTGTTCATATAATATGGACCCTAAATCAATTAGCTTTTTGATTTGTTGTTAATATCCACCAGTACTCTAGGACAATTTGAAAATACAACAATGCAAATTTGGAGAAGGGCGAATTTTAAAGAAKTGGAAAGATAAAATTATGGTTTGTTTACTTACCAGTTAAAACAAACAACCAATGTAAACTTTCTCATTCGTGGTGTTCTAAACATATCAATTACATGATACGTTTGTCGATTTTTACGTGCTAGTTGGTCTTCTCKGACYTTTTCCAGTGTCGAGCTAAGTTTCAACGTGTCCAAAGGCTTCTTGCGCTTAGCTCCAAATTTTACGAGGACARCTTCCGCTTCGTCCAGTTTACCATTAGCGACAAGCCAGCGAGGTGACTCGGGGACGATTCTTRAGATATGAATATAATCATCAATTGATTAATAAATAAATGATTAATAAGAAGTAATAAATGAAGATATGAAGACCAGTCTAAAGTGATAGTGCAAGTAGAAAATATCAGTCGAGAGTGCATCACTCCATTCATAGGTCCCCCAGTCCAAACTGGACTGAGAGAGCGTCTCCACAATTTGGCAAGTCTCTAAATAGCTTTGACTTTCGAGATAACAAGTAATGAGATAATGCCGCTCCGAGGAAACCAGGGTTTTTTCCCCGACACTCTTCTTCATTCCTTTTGTGTATGGGCAATCAATCCACCAAGATATCGAAGTCATGGGACTATTTTCGCTGTCCACAATAGTGAGTTACAGATAGACACTATGTGCTGTTTATAAGAAGGGCAAATGAATTTATTTCTCTGATAAAGATAATATCCATCCCATGGATTCAGGTATGGATTTTATCCGCAGGATAAGGATTTATCGTCGATGCCTGGGGTTAGTAGTTTCTCACATGCAACCGMGGGTCGTAGAGCTTCATTAAAAGTAACTAAAATTAGTTAGTTAACAACCWCGGGCAGCAAGCGCAAGGAGGGTGGACGTCTATTGGGGCCTCTCCCTATTTCCATCTYCCTTCCATAWATCAGYGTCAAGCCGAATAGCACGAATTTAGCTTTTTGWATGTCTTTGTTGAAAGAAATATCTTAAACTTCACTCAAACTAATATGCCCATACCATTGCCACTTACCTATAAAGAGGAAGAAAAAGAAATGCCGAAACGCTKCCAGCAATCACAAGATGTCTCCAATGTGAGAATAGCCAGRCCAGAAATACAAGAAACGCTCCGCCAACCTTCCATACAAGASTACTTGCCATACCTGCAGTAGTTCTTCTTTTAGGACCAACCAACTCAATGCAATACGTATGYCTTATCAACATSAGAGAAACAGAACTAAACCCTGCTACTGTTTGCARTATGCACAAAATTACAGGAGAGTTTACAAAGGCAGTCCCAAGATAATTCAATGACTGAAAAGSNATTGGCAAGCATAGCTTTTTTACCTCCGAGACTGCGCTGAAATCCTCATCAAAAGAATACATCGAACAATTATCACAGCACTTGTTTGGCGAGCATGTCACATTGGGTGTCACGCATTGGAACTTCTGAGCCCCATAAGCAAAAACAAGGCACAGGAAATTTAAGCCATTGGGAACAGACATAAGAGACATTGTCCAGTAAATAAACTGCTGGTATCGACCAAACGATTTAATTTGCTCGAAAACGTCGTCAAATTCGGCAACGTTGGATTCCTCTTCGGATTTTTGTTCTTCCATTGTGAAAATTTCTTTATTTCAGTCACTGAAGAAAGAGAAGAAAAATATTGTCTAGCAAATAATGTGCGATGCTTTGCCACCAGTCCTTACTAAGCAGTAGTCTGAATATGCTGATACTTATAAGGTCYTGTGACTCAGGTTAATCCATGTTCGTAAGATGTAACTTTTAATGTTTTCTTCGATATCTTAAAGACCATAAGGCGTTGGACGATGCAAAATCTTGCAATAGGAAATCTGAAAAAGGTTTCGTTTGAGCTTTTCTCAGCAAAAATTTCAAAGACTGCGCGAAAATTGGACAGACATTTTGATTTCTTTATTAAATATATCAACACATTTGCACATTTGTCTATCCTATAATTTAAACTTTCACTAAGTTAAACTATTCACCGGGTATCACAGATGTTTTACGATACAAATTGAGCACAAAACATATATAGACGATTTCGTATAAGAATTTCTACTTACCTTGATATCAAATGCTGTGATTTCGAGACAGCGCACGCAACAAGTTCACGAAAGAAACAAAAGTGCATAAAATATTGTCTGTTAGTCGGCATATATATCAACAAGTATTGTCGTGTAGTGAGAGGTCACGCGATAAAAATAAGATAAAGTTTCTTATTGTTGTTACAGAACTCTCGGGGTTACGTAACTACATCTTTCGACAAAAAATATTCGAACATAAAGCAATAGTACCCCCTCCCCTTGGAACCATGTTTCAAATTTTTCACGTTGACAGGCCGTGCACCCCAACAGGGGGGTAGGCCGGCGGTGTTTATRAACATTTTGTCGAGWGCTCTGCAGTTTATAGATTATATTATTATATCCAAGGARTCAGGTTTTCCATTCGAATATAAAAAAAATGATATAATAAATCTAGATTTGAATTATTGTTTGCAACTTGGAACGTTCTCAAAAATATCATGAAAATCAGACATGACGTTGACATAGGGGGAATGGCGAGGTCAACGARTGCAAAAKATCCGMTATGWRYWAWAMARMMRACMAYC